AACCCGTGCTGTCCCTGGGAGTGTTTGATGGGGGGGACAGTGTAGAGGGAGCTTTACTCTGTATCTAACCCCATGCTGTCCCTGGGAGTGTTGGATGGGGGGAGTGTAGAGGGAGCTTTACTCTGTATCTAACCCCGTGCTGTCCCTGAGAGTGTTGGATGGGGGGAGTGTAGAGGGAGCTTTACTCTGTATCTAACCCCGTGCTGTCCCTGTCCCTGGGAGTGTTTGATGGGGGGGGACAGTGTAGAGGGAGCTTTACTCTGTATCTAACCCCGTGCTGTCCCTGTCCCTGGGAGTGTTTGATGGGGGGGACAGTGTAGAGGGAGCTTTACTCTGTATCTAACCCCATGCTGTCCCTGTCCCTGGGAGTGTTTGATGGGGGACAGTGTAGAGAGAGCTTTACTCTGTATCTAACCCCGTGCTGTCCCTGTCCCTGGGAGTGTTTGATGGGGGGGGGAACAGTGTAGAGGGAGCTTTACTCTGTATCTAACCCCGTGCTGTCCCTGGCAGTGTTTGATGGGGGGGGACAGTGTAGAGGGAGCTTTACTCTGTATCTAACCCCATGCTGTCCCTGGCAGTGTTTGATGGGGGGGGGACAGTGTAGAGGACGCTTTACTCTGTATCTAACCCCGTGCTGTCCCTGGCAGTGTTTGATGGATGGGGATAGCGTAGCGGGAGCTTTACTCTGTATCTAACCCTGTCCCTGGGTGTGTTGCATTTTCACCTTGTCCTTTAGCGTTTCCTTTCTGACCACTCTCTGAAGGCAGGGTGGGGGGGCGGAAATCGATGTTGTTCGGAGCGTGCCCTGTGTCCCTCTCACAGGTTAAAATTGAAGTCATGGCTGAGGATTAAAGAGACAGGTGCAATATCTTCTGAGCCGGTTTGAATTATTGTCCCGGGGCCTCAGCACCACGTATCGCCGTCGCTGGCTACCCCCCACCCCCACCCCCCGGAGAATCTGCCTTGTGGAACAGCCACAGTCCCCTTTAAGTGTGGTGGGTAGGGGCACTCCCCGCACAGTGCTGTTGTGAAGGGAGTTGCAGAATTTTGACCTGGTGGGGACGGATACAAAACTGCTTCAGCGACAAGGTTCCTGCATTTACGTCGGACCTGCACTCCCTGCAGTTTAGAAGGGTCGGAGGTGAACTCGTTGAAACGTGCAGGAAATTTTAAAGGGCTTGATGGGGTCAATGCTTAGAGGATGTTTACCCTTGTGGGACCAAACAGCACAGCCTCAGAATCGAGGGACGGCAATTTAAGGCTGAAATGGGGAGGAATTTCTTCTCTCCAGAGAGTTGAACGTCTTTGGAAGTCCTTGCCACAGAGAGCTGCGGGCGGGGCACAGAGTCCTTATATAACATTTAATGCTGAGATAGATTCTTGATCAGTTGGGAGTTATGGGGAAAGGGCAGGAAAGTGGGCGTGAGGAATGTTGCATCAGCCATGATCCTATTGAATGGCAGAGAAGGCTCGAGGGGTCGAACGGCTTCTTCCTTACCATCTTGTCAGCAGATCTCTCCACATCGTAAGAGCGGATGAAAAGAATTATGCCATTTCAGAACCAGTTACAGACTGTCTTATTGCAAGGGTGCTGCACAGCACTTCTGTTCCAGGGAGGACAGCTTCTGAATCAACAATGTGTAGACCCCGATTCTCCTCAAACACTGCAAAGGGTCAATGGCTATTACTTTGCAAACAGCTGGACCAAAAACTATCCCTTTATCTCTAAAATAAAAGGAGCTTGGGATATAGGAAAACTAACCGATACACCCAGCTATGAAGCTATTGTATTTCAAGCTGCCAAAGGCAGGAAGGTAGAGGAGGCCATTTTGAGATCAGGTTACAGGCTTCCCTATAAATCCAGGACTATCATAGATGCACGAGTAGTTACAGCTCTGTCTTGTAATAGAGACACATGAGAAGTAGAGTGCAAGAGATAAATGGGCCAAGCCTGCACTTAAGCAGAGAAGCTACTGACTATACTTCTTTGACTGGCACAGACTCAATGGGCTAAAGGACTTTCGTCTGTGCTGTGGAGCTGTATGACTCAATACTGTTGACCTTGAATTATATACCTTGAATCCAGATTAAAGGCTGAATCCCCGCCCCACCCCACCCCACCCTCCTCCCCCCACAACTATCAATACCCTGGGGCTTACCATAGAGAGAGAATCTAACCATCACTCCTTTGATGTTCAATGGTATTACCATCACTGAAACCATCCCACCCCCCAACACTATCAACATCCTGGGGGTTCCCATTGAGAATCTAACCATCACCCCGCACCCCGCTTGACGTTCAATGGTGTTCCCATCACTGAATCCCTCCCAACAGACAGTCCCTACTGAATAGTGCTGATTGGTCATTCAGTATTGGAGAGACCCCCTTGGACAGTCCCTACTGGGCAGTCTTAAGTGGGCTGTGCTGATTGATTGATCCTCAGAGAGCGGTTATACCATAGCGAAACTGCTGCTTAGCAAATTCAACAGGCTCAGAAAACTCTTACAGACTGTCAATGCCTATCACAAAATCCTCTGAAAATTAACACACCTGTAAGCTCCCCTCCGAGTAACTCACCGGCTCGGCTCGGAACAATATCGGCCGTGCCTTCAGGGTCAAAATCCAGGAACTCCCTTCCTACCGGCACTTTGCGGGGTGTCCCTACACCACATTGGGAAGGGCAACTGCACTCACCCTGACCTTCTCCACGGGGCAATTAGGGATGGGTGGGTCATTCCAGTGGCACCCTCACCCCGTGAGTGAACAACAGAAGATCGGAGAAGATGATAGAAGATCTCGCTCACTAACAAACGCCAAGGAGAGCTGGCACCCTCACCCTGATCCCTGGGGAATCTCTGTGACGAGGGTTCTGCCAGTCTGACAGACCATCTTTCACTGTGACTCTGTTTCCCCTCCCATGGCCAATGTTGTACCCATATTGCAACTGTCGCTTTTGGTTCATGATCTAGCCTTTCCTCACAGGTCTGTCGTGTGGCACTGTGCCAAGCGCCTTCTGGAAGTCCCTGTCAACCCCATCCACTGCAGTGCCTCACCAAAAAGAAACCTCAAGGATGTTTGTCAAACAAGATCTGCCATGTTGAATTTCCCTAATTAGGCCACATGGCCATTATTGGGTTTTATTCACCACCAACTCCCCCACCCCAGTTATTGATTCCAGGGTTTTTCCCGATCCTGACATTGACAGGCTGGCCCTGTAGCTACTGAGTGAGGCTTCCCACCCTTTTCTGAACAACATTCACAATTCTCCATTCATCCAGCGCCATCTCCAAAATGAACGAGAGCTGGAAAGCCGGGGACTGAATGCCTCAGTCATTTCCACTCCTGTGTCCTTGGAGAGACTGGCTGTTTCCGAAGCAGAACGGATTTACCTGATCTGGTGAGACTTGCTGATCACAGCAGCCACCTGGACGCCAACACCCAAACTCAGGACAATACAACAGCTGTGCCTCTGAATTGTCTTTGTTCAAATTGGAGATCTTCACTCACATCTCTTCCACAGGAGGATCAGCACGGTTATGATATTATGATCACTCTTCTCCAGAAAATCCTCAGTAGATGAGATGCTAATTAATACTACCTGCTCCGAGAAAACTAGGTATAAAGTAACCAGCTGGTTTCTCACACAAATCAAAACTAGTCTGTGGGAATTGCTGACAGTGTGTATCTGAGGCAGTGCATTTTGGAACACTGCCTCAGATACACTCTGTGAGCAAGTTGCACAGGACGAGTTTTGACTTGTGAGAGAAAACAGTGACAGTTACATTCAGACATCAACCCTTCCCTTCCCTTGAATGGGCTTGCAAACCCGCTGATACCAAATTACCTCCCATCATGTCTGTCCGCAATCTACTCAGCAACTGTTCTCTCTGGGGGAAGAGACTTCCAAAGATTTCCCAACTTCCAAGTGAAGCAATTCCCCCTCATCTCAATCTGAAATGGCCAAGCCTGCTACCTGAGAGCGGGACAGTCCCCGGCCTCACTGTCTTCTAGAGCCTTCAGCCCTGGCGTGTGAGCTGGGGGGGCGGAGGGGGGGCGGTGGGTGGGGGCAGGTGGTGAGGGAGGAGAGATGGTGGAGAGGAACAGCGTCTTCGAATCAAGTGAATTATCTCCAACTCTGGGCAATAACGGCTCATTCTGCAAAATCTCTCTACTCAGGACGGGCCGAATGGCCTGCTGCTGCTCCCATTTCTCCCGACCTGATGGACGAGGATATCCAGCTCCTTTCCTTCCTGCCTTTCCCAAAATATCCTGCACCTTTCTATCAGTCCTGTTGGATTACATCTCCCCGCGCTGCGTTCCGTCCATCGCCTTCTGCCCACCCCTCCCCTTCCAGTTGGCACCGACCTTGCCCCTCTTATTGTTGACCATCGCTCACCTGCCAACTGCTGAATTGCCCAGAGAGCTGCTCACCGGCCTGGGAGCTGCCGAAGAGCTGGTCGGTGCAAACATCGCAGCCACCCTTGCCTGGCCAGGTCCAGAAGGGCATGGTGAAGCTGTTGTCTCCTGTGATGTTTCGGATTTCCCCAGCTCTAGATGCAGGAGGTACATCCTATGCCAAATCAGGAAGGCTGCACTGCGGTGCCCAAAATAGGGCTCGGCCGAGGTCCTGATGGGCTTGGCGCAAACGTAATGGACCCAGCTGGCCGCAGCGGAAGGCATAGGGGCAGTCCGGGGCAGAGCTCTGGCTGGCGTAGTGCTGGCTCATGGTGACCTTCGACTGGCGCAGGCGGCACAGGACCCCCTCCCTCACTGCCTCCAACAGAGCGGAGACGTCCCGGCGGATAGCCACATGCCTCTCCTGGCACCGCGCCCCCTCGCCAGTCGTGCGCGCACTCCCCGCAGTCCGCCCCCCCCTCCCCCACCCCAGAAGGTGTCCCGGCACACGCACGCCCGCCTGAAGAAGTAGGTGGGCCACCACAGCCGGAAGTCCCTGGTATTGATCTGCTCCCTCGCCCTCTCCTCCTGCGCCCCGGGGGGGGTCTCGCCCGTGACATCTTGGCAGCTGCCCCGCCCCGAGGCTGATCCGCACGGGGAGCCGTCGCCCCAGAAGACGGGGCAGCATTCGCTGCTCTCTATGTGAGCCGCGGTGCCGCAGTCGGTGGGAATCTGTGCACGGGCAGTGCCCAGAATTAGAACACATGCACCCACCCTGGGGACATGGTCTGACAGTCTCTGTACATTGATGTACAACAGGCGGCCACTGTGCCTGCAGTGCCCACATCTGCAGATTTATACTGGACTCACTTGGTGCCATGTGCCCATTTGCCAGTTGTTATCTGACCAGCTAGCAGAGATTATGATCACGGGAGATTAACGTCAAGGAACTAACTCAGTGCCACATATCAGCGTTGTCTGGATCTTCTCAGACCAGCGTCAGAGATTATGGTCAAGGATCTTTTCTGAATTGATCAACAATATCCCGTTTGGTGTCCTGAAAAAGTTTTCAAATTCCATGTCTCCCTCTGACCCACCCCCCTCCCCATCCCCCAGCTACCCACCATCTCTGTCTCTCTCTCTCCGTCTTTCTCTCCCTGACCTGGTTTGTTGCTATGTAGGTACTGCTTGATAGGACTGTTGATGACACCTTCCATCACTTTCCTGATGATTGAGAGGAGACTGATGGGACAGTAATTGGCTCGGATGGATTCGTCCACCTTTTTATGCCCAGATATACCTGTGCAATTTTCCGCATTTGTCGAGTAGATGCCAGTGTTGTAAATGTACTGGAACAGCTTGGCTCAGGGGAGTGGCTAGTTCTGGAGCACAAGTCTCCAGTACCATTGCCGGAATATTGTCAGGGCCGGTAGCCTTTGCAGGATCCAGTATCTCCAGCCGTTTCACGCGGAGTGAATTGAATTGGCTGAAGCTTGGTATCTTTGATGGTGATCGTTCAGCTCCTGAGCCTGCCTCACTAACAGTTCACTGCCCATCCCCGATAACCCTGCACACCACAGGGAGTCAGAAATCTCTCAATCTCTACCTCCAACACTGTCTGTCAGACGAGCGTTTGAGGGGGTTAGAATTTTAACCAGTGAGCTTAAATATGGATGGTTGGAAACAACACACTCAGAATAAACAGGAATTCTTGCCAGCTGCAGAAACCTGGGACAAGTGTTGTACTGAAGACTGGGTAGTTTGCTGCGAAAAATGGTCTGCTTAACGTTTAGCAATTGTTTGAAGGCGAGAAGTGGAGACATTGGGATGATCTTGGCCAGGTGTATGTTGTCATCGATGGCATGTTAAAGCCTGTGAAGGACACGGTGTAGTTTCTCCGCTCCAAGGAAGTAATGGGCAATGAAGGGTACTCTATCGGTTGTGTCCCGCGTCTGTCTTTTTTTTCTTTATTCATTCGTGGGATGAGGGTGTCGCTGGCTCGGCCAGCATTTATTGTCCATCCCTAATTGCCCAGAGGGCAGTTAAGAGTCAACCACATTGTTGTCACATGTAGGCCAGACCAGGTAAGGATGGCAGTTTCCTTCCCTAAAGGATATTAGTGAACCAGATGGGATTTTCCCCAACAGTCGACAATGGATTTGTGGTCATCATTAGATTCTTAATTTATTGAATTTTTATTGAAGATATTTTATTGAATTCAAATTCCACGATGAGCCGTGGCGGGATTCAAATGCAGGTCTCCAGAATGTTATCAGGGTCTCTGGATTAACAGTGTTAATACCACCAGGCCATTGCCTCCCTTTCTGTCTTCTGATGAGGTCATTGCGGTTTCTCGCTGTGGCACGTTGGAACTGATGATCGATGAGTTGAGCATCGTATCCTGTTCTTATGGAGGAGTCTTTCAGCATCTTTAGGTGTCTGTTGCGTTCCTCCTCATCTGAGCAGATCCTGTGTATGTGCAGGGCCTGTCCATAGGGAATGGCTGTTTTAACATGTTTAGGGTGGAAGCTAGAGAATTGCAGCATCCTGAAGTTATCCATAGGCTTGTGGTAGAGTGAGGTACTGAGGTGTCTGTCCCTGATGGAGATGTATGTGTCCAGGAATGAGATCGAGTTTGAAGAGTAGTCCATGGTAAGTCTGATTGTGGAATGGAACTTATCGATATCGTTGTATAGCCAGATTCATCAACCGCGCTCACAAGATAGTGCAGGACATCACCCAGGCACAACACAACGCCATCTGTGCTCTCAAGACTAATCGCAATATTGTCATCAAACCAGCAGAGAAAGAAGGAGCCATTGTCATACAGAATAGAAGACTATTGCAGAGAGGTATACCGACAGCTGAACAACCAGGAACACTCCAGACAACTACCTGCCTATCAGACCAAACAAAACACCTTTCAACTCAACACAGGGATCAAGACTTTTGATCCAGACCTTCAGAGTATCCTATGCACTCTCAGCTCGTGTACGTCTCGCATTGGAGACTTCTACTGCCTTCTGAAGATACACTAATCTGACACACCCAGATGTTGCATTGTATCAGGCAATGGGACGCTGTGTGTGAACCTCTCTGGCTACGTCAAAGGCATCTTGAAACCCATTGTACAGGGAACCTCCAGCTTCTGTCGCGACACTACAGATTTCCATTCAGACTGGCACTCTACACCAGCATCCCCTACAATGATGGTATCGATGCAACAGCCTCAGTTCTCAATACCACCAACTGCCAATTTCCAGACGCCATCCCACAGCTCATTCGCTTCATCCTCAACCACAACGTCTTCACCTTCGACAACCAGCTCTTCATCCAGAACAGAACAGCCATGAGGGCCAGATTTGCTCCCTATTATGCCAACATTTTCATGCACAAGCTCGGGCAAGACTTCTTTGCTGCGCAGAACCTCTGCCCAATGCTTTACACCAGATACAATGACAACATTTTCGTCCTTTGGGCTCATAGCGAGGAATGACTCAAACGACTACATAGCGATATCAACAAGTTCCATCCCACAATCAGACTTACCAAGGGCTCCCCAGAATCAGTCTCATTCCTGGACACATGCGTCTCCATCAGGGACAGACACCTCCGTAACTCATTCGACCACAAGCCCACGGATAACCTCACGATGCTGCATTTCTCTAGCTTCCACCCTAAACATGTTAAAAATGCCATCCCCTACAGACAAGTCCCACACATACACAGGATCTGCTCAGATGAGGAGGAACACGACAGACACGCAAAGATAAGAATGGGATACGATGCTTAATTCATCAATCATCAGTTCCAATGTGCCACAGTGGAAAACCGCAATGACTTCATCAGAAGGCGGACATGAGATATGACCGATAGAGTACCCTTCGTTGTCCAGTACTTTCCTGGAGCGGGGAAACTACACCATGTTCTTTACAGCCTTCAACATGTCATCGATGACAACAAACACCTCGCCAAGATCATCCCTACACCTCCACTTCTCACCTTCAAACAACCGCCAAATCTTAGACCATCGCTCACAGCAAACAACCCAGACTTCAGGACAAGGTCAATCACAACACCACACAACCCTGCTACAGAAACCTCTGCAGGACAATGTCAGATCATCGACATGGACACTACCATCACACATGGGAACACCACCCACCATGTACACGGCAGATACTCATGTGACTCAGCCAACGTTGTCTACCTCATACACTGCAGGCAAGGATACCCCAGGGCATGGTACAATGGCGAGACCATGCAGATGTTAAGGCAACAGATGAACACTGCACAACAATCACGAGACAGGGATGTTCCCTCCCAGTCGGGGAACACTTCAGCAGGATTGCCCGCAGGATCTTTGACTTTGCTTCATTCAAAACGGGTCCCCGGACAATATCGTTCCTGGAAACCGTCTTGAATGTGTCTCGCTACTTCTAAGACCCACCCGTCTGCAATGACCTTCTGCAACATGAGAGAAGACCATCAATGACGTTTCCATCACTGAATCCCCCACCCACCCCACTATCAACATCCTGGGGATTACCATTGAGAGAGAATGTAGCCATTGCACCACCCCCCCCCCCGCGATGTTCAATGATGTTACTATCACTGAATCCTGACCCGCCTCCCCCACGCCCCCCCCTCACTATCAACATCCTGGGGGTCCCCATTGAGCAGAAACTGACCCGGGACCCCAGCCCCATATCAATCCTGTGGCTACAAGAGCAGGTCAGAGGCTGGGAACCCTGCAGCGAGTAACTCCCCTCCTGACTCCCCCCACCCCCAAAATCTGTCCTACCTTCTACAAGGCACAAATGTGAGGGAATACTCCACACTTGTCCTGGATAGGGGTGGATCCAACGAATTCGAGAGGTTCAACACCATCCAGGACAAAGCAGCACCCCCCCACCAACTCCCCATTGCTTGATCCAGACACTAACTCCCACCTTCAACAACCCCTCTCTCCCACCACCAACGCACAGCAGCAACAGTGTGTACCTTCTACAACACGCACTGCAGCAACTCACTGAGGATCCTCCAATTGGCAGCACCTTTCAAACCTCCTACCCCCATACAGGGGCAGCAGACACGGTGGTGGGAGGGGGAATACCACCCACTGCCAAGTTCCCCTGAGCCCCAGCCCCCCCACAGACAAGCCAGAAGGATATTGGCCAGGGGTGGCACTGCGCCTCTACACCATGGGCGGCGGGTGAGGAGGTATGGGAGAAGGGCAGAGTGGCTGCAGCGGGTCAAGAAGGCGGCTCAGCCCCACCTCCTCCAGGGGACAACTCGCGGATGAGCGATAAATGCCGGTTGAGATAGTAACGTCTTACATCCATGTAGCTGGTGTCCCTGCTCTTCGGCAGCACTGAGGCCTGTGAAATAGACAGATGTTTTTGATAAGCAAGCGTATCAAGGGATACGGGCCCCAAGGCAGGAACATGCAGTTAGACCACAGATCGGCCATGACCTTAGTGAATGGCAGAGCATGCTCGAGGGGCTGAACTCCTGCTCCTATGTTCCCATGTGGATCTAGCCCAACTACTTATGCCCCAAAAACATTTGGCTAATGTGGAGAAGGAGTTGTTGGACAGAAAGTAGCACAATCGGCTTTTTTTTTCCTTTATCCATTCACAGGATAAGGGCATCACTGGCCAGGCCAGCATTTACTGTCGCATCCCTAATTGCCCAGAGGGCAGTTAAGACACAACCACATTGCTGTGGATCTGGAGTCACATGTAGGCCAGACCAGGTAAGGATGGCAGTTTCCTTCCCTAAAGGACTTTAGTGAACCAGGTGGGGTTTTCCGACAATCGTCAATGGATTCATGGTCATCATTAGATTTTTAATTCCAGATATTTATTGAATTCAAATTCCACCATCTGCCATGGCAGGATATGAACCCAGGTCCCCAGATCGTTAGCTAGGCCTCTGGATTAACAGCCCAGCAATAATACCACTAGGCCATCATCTCCCCTTGGGTGTGGTGTGTGCCAATCAGCCCCTCAAATCTGCTCTGCCTTTCAACCTCCAGTTAGCGCATGCCAAGTCTTTGTTGAGACTGTGATTGACCTTTGTTAGCCCCTCCTTGGGTAAGCTATTCACGGAGTCCTCACGGACAGCATAAAATTCCCTAATGCTTCAGCAAACCACGGGCCACTTACCGAGAATAAATGCATTAAATAAGTTAAACAGTTTTTAAGCATCCATACATAACGCCACTTGTCAAATCTCCAAATCCCTTCTGAAACTCCTCCTTGCATAGACACATACGGGGAAAAAAAAAGTGGGTGCTATGGGCAGAGGGAAGGACTGGGAAGATTGTTCAATTGCCCCTACCAACAGGGTTCACTGAGCTGATTGCCCAGGCCCTGCTGCTCCTTGACCTCCCTTCTCCAGGTACTTTCACTTTAACTGCAGGAGGCATGGAGCAACTGGTCCACATCTTGTGAAGTCTCTGACTAAATCAGCGAACAGCTGTAGCTTACGTCAGTGGGCAAGGGAGAAACAAACTGGCTCTCTTACAGCTCGAGGTGGTTTTGTTCGAAGGACAGCAGCTTCCTTTTTGAAGATCCAATGGCTTTCTGACCCTAACGTTTGCACCCACAAGCTGCCTCACAGCCCAATCACATCGGCAGGCAGGAGGCTGTTCTCATTGACATCCCACACAAACCAATCAGCTCCCGGTTGTCAGTTGAATCTCCGTTGGTAGCCCCCGCACGCTCCGGCCTAGCCCCAGCTTGTCTGGAGTAAAATCTGCCACAGACAGCTGTGTAAACCACACTCACAATGAGGATCAAGCAACACGCTTTTAAATGGCGCTGCATCATTTCCACAATCCTTGGTTCTTTTTTTTAAAGAAAACAAGTCCTTTTCCCGTTTCAGCGTGCAATCAAACATTCAGGAGAATAAAGAAGAGGTAGTCTATACAACGCTTTCAAACCTCCTTCGCAACTGGAGACATTTCGATGAGAACCCCTCCCAATCTCTGAAACTCCAGGAGATTTCTGTCCACTGCCGTCAACCTCTCCTTCTTGGACAATTCACAGGATTGTTGGAGGGATGTTGTCGCAGCACAGAAGGTAATGCGGTGGATTAACCTCATAGAATCCCTAGAGTAATCATAGAATCCATACAGTGTGGAAACAGGCCCTTCAGCCCAACAAGTCCACACCGAACGTTGGAGCATCCCACCCAGACCCATCCTCCTATAACCCACCTAATCTACACACCGCTGAACACTAGGGCAATTTAGCACGGCCAATCCACCTACCCTGCACAGCTTTGGACTGTGGGAGGAAACCAGAGCACCCAGAGGAAACCCACGCAGACACAGTGGGAGAATGTGCAAACTCCACGCAGACAGTCGCCCGAGGCTGGAATCGAACCCAGGTCCCTGGTGCTGTGAGGCAGCAGTGCTAACCACTGAGCCACCGTGCCGCCCCAAATTGAGGTGCTTGAGGTCAGGAGAGAGCGTTCCCAGGGGGCAGGGGGCCGGGAAGGGCCCGAGGGAGTGCAGGCTAAAGGCGATCAGCAGAAGAGTGTGAGCTGGGAGACGAGTTTGAATTTCATCAAAAATTCCGCAATCAGAAGTCTGAGTGAAGTGATTGTGGGAAAAAGACTGACCAGCTCATGGGAAGGTACTCTTGGCCTGGTCAAGCCTACATGTGACTCCAGTGCCACAGCCGGGTTGGTTGACTCTCAGCGGCCCCTGAAATGGTCTCACCAAAGAAATGAGACCAGGCAGACGAGCTGGCATTGACCTGGGCACCGGGAAAGACAACGGCAGGCACAGCCCCGTTGGCCCTGCAAAATCCTCCTGCTAACATCCGGGGTGGGGGAGGGGTCTACTGCCTGACAGAGTCGTAGTCATGGATCCATGCCGTGTCCCAGACGCGGCCGTGAATCCCCGGATATGGCCACCAGATACCAACCACATAGCCCAGGCCCCAGCAGGTGGCCCCCTCAACTCCCGAAGGAGTGCAACAGGTTTGAGGGGAATGTTCGAACGAGGAACGGGGGAAACAAACAGGGGAATTGGAAAGCTGGCTAAGTCCTGCCTGTAAGGCTGAGGGGTCAATGATCATTCTTGTTCCGAGCGGTACGGTCTGAGTGGACCCACCCCACCCTCCCGGGGATGGCCAGTGAGGGAGTGTCAGGTCCTGAGAGGGTTACAGGCCGATGCTGTGACTGGGGGCACCGGGTGGGAGCTGGCAGCCTGTATACCCACACAGTCTCCGAACAGCAGCTCCTGGGATCTGGCCATTTGGACCAAGGGAGACGTCAGCCCTTATTGTTGGTGGGAGCACATTGAGCTCCGTCTGTGTGAGCTGTGGCCCGTGACCCACACCGTTCGCTGGCTGACCCATGTTCCCAGATAGTGGGCCCAGATAAAGGGGAAGCTCTTTGTTCAGAAACATAGCACATGTCAGCTCCCTTACACCTGGGCCAGGTAAACATCACGTGCCCAGGGGCAGGGGAGGGGCGTTAGCTGGCACAGACCTGGGAGTGTGGCACTCAGTGAAGGATGAGAGGGGGAACAAGTGGGCAGGAGAGACAGGGAGCTTTCACCCAGCACAAAGGCCCCTCCC